GCAATTTGAAGCTACCAGCAGCTGAGTGGGAGAAAGACAGAACTTTCTACTTCCATAAAGAGTTACACCAGCACTTGTCTGTCACTTTGCCATACTGTGGTGATCTGTATATTGTTGTGATACTGGAATCTGTGTCACAGGTATTTCCAATGCCAGCAGGGTCACCCAAAGTGAACAAGTTTCAGCGGAGCTCCCAGACCAAACAGACATTGAAGAAACACTTGGCTCCCCACTTCAGAGTAAGTAGCCCCGGAAGAACAACACGAACATTATTTCTGAGGAAAGCAAAAGGACATTAAAAAGAAAGGAAAGATCTAAGATGTCAGAAGAGACTCTGGAACTTGCTCTTAATAGTAGAGTACTTAAAGCAAATTGAAGAAGCAATGAAATTAATGCGCTGACTAGAAAATTTCAATGGGCAGATCAAGACAGTAAAATACACTGATGAAATGTGCAAAGACCTTGAGTTAGAAAACAAAAAAGGAAGAATATGCTCAGCAGATCTTAAACAGAAAGAACTGAAGAAAAAATTCAAGCCTCAAGTTGTAATATTGGACGGTTCTATGGGCAAATTATTGATTGATGCAGGAAGCATCAAAAGAAGATGGAAAGAGTACACAGAGTCACTGTCCAAAAAGAACTAATTAACATTTCGCCATTTCAAGAGGTAGTTTATGAGCAAGAGCCAATGGTGCTGAAGGAGAAGTTTAAACTGCACTGAAAGCATTTTCCAAAAACAAGGCTCCAGGAATTGATGGAATGCCCATTGAAATGTAACAACAGGCTGACAAAACTGTGGAAGCACTTATTTATGCCAGGAAATTTGGAAGACAACTGCTTGGTCAGCTGACTGCAAGAGATCACATTTGTACCCATTCCAAAGAGAGGTGAGCAAACAGAATGCTCAGATTATAGAACAATATAATTGATAATCACATGCAAGTAAAATTTTACTGAAGCTCATACAACAATGGTTGTGACAGTAAATTGACAGGGAGCTGCCAGAGGTTCAGGCCAGACTCAGAAGAGGATGTGGAACAAGGGATATCATTGCTGATGTCAGATTGATCTCAGCTGAACGCAGTGAATACCATAAAGATGTTTATTTGTGTTTTAATTGACTATGCCAAGACATTCAGTTGTGTGGATAGTAACAAACTATGTATAGTCTTGAGAAGAATGGGAATTCCAGAATACTTCATTGTGTTCATTCAGAACTTTTATGTGAATCAAGAGCAGTTATGGGAAAAGAATAAGGACAAACTCCTGATTTAAAATCAGGAAACGTGGAGGGAGGGGAAAAATGAGCTGATACCAAGGGCCCAAGTAGAAAGCAAATGTTTTGAGAATGATGAGGGTAACAAATGTACAAATGTGCTTGACAAAGGATGTATGTATGGATTGTGATAAGAGTTGTACAAGCCCCCGATAAAATGATTTAAAAAAAATGAGATCAGGAAAGGTGTGCATTGGGGTTTATTTTCTCACTGTACTGTATGCTGAGCAAATAATGAAAGAAGCTGGATTATATGAAGAAGATTGTGGCATCAGGATTGGAGAAAGGCTTATTAACAACCTGAGATACACAGATGACACAACCTTGCTTGTTGAAAGTGAGGGGGAAATTGAAGGAGTTGCTAATGATGATCTAAAATTGCAACTTCTAGCATGTCAAGAAGACCAAAATCCTCACAACTGGATCAATAGGTAACATCATGATAAAAAAAGGTTGAAGCTGTCAAGAATTTTGTCTTGCTTGGATCCACAATCAGTGTTCCTGGAAGAAGCAGTAGGAGAGCAAAAGACTCTTTGCATTAGGTAAAACTGCTGCACAGGACCTCTTTCGAGTATTGAAAAGCAGGACTGTTATTTTGAGGACTAAAGTGCGCCCGATGCAAGCAATGCTGTGTTCACTTCCTTACATGCATGTGAAAGGTGGACATTAAATAAGGAAGACTGAAGAAGAATGATGCGATTGAATTGTGCTGGAGAAGGATATTGAAAGCCCCATGAGCGGCCACAAGGACAAGATGATTTTTTCTTGGAAGAAGAGTGATCCTTGGAGGGAAGGATGGCAACACTTTGTCTCATGTGCTTTGGATGTGTTTTCTGGGGATACTATTCCATAGAGCAGCAGTGGTTCTCAACCTTCCTAATGCTGCGACCCTTTAATCCAGCTCCTCATGTTGTGGTGGCCCCCCAACCATAACATTATTTTCGTTGTTACTTCATAACTGTAATGTTGCTACTGTTATGAATTGGGAAACCCCTGTGAAAGGGTTGTTCAGCCCACTGGTTGAGAACCGCTATCCTTGAGAAAGACCTCATATAAAGTAGAGGGGCAGCGAAAAAGCTGAAGGCCCTTAAGGAGAAGGATTGACATGGTGGTTGCAAGGAACAATTGTGAGGATGGCACAGGACCGGACAGTGTTTGCCATGGTTGGAACTGACTCAGTGGCATCTAACAACAGCAAGAGTGACAGTCTTGGAAACTCACAGGGGTGGTTCTACTCTGTCCTCTAGGGTTGCTATGAATCAGAATGGCAGTGAGTTTATTTTTTCTTTTCTTTTTTAATAAACCAGAGTCTTCTGAAAACTTAATACTCATAATTTAAGTTCTAACAGCAATAAAGGATAAAAAAGCACAAGCAATGGGTTATTGTTAGGTGCTATTGAGTTGGTTCCTACTCTTATTGACCCTCTGTACCACAGAAAGAAACAGTGTCTAGTACTGGGCCATCTTCACAGTTGTTGTGTTTGAGCCCATTGTTGTAGTACAGTATCCCATCCATTTCCTAGCGAGTCTTTGATAATCAAATGGAGGAATAGATGTAAAGCTCCGAGGTCAGAGAGAATCTGGCTTATTTTGGCTAAGGTAGCTATAGTGTAGTACACAGGAGGGAGTGGTAGGAGATTAGGACAGAGAGATGAATCATCTAAACCAAGCCTATTGCTATTGAGTCGATTCCATTTCATAATGACCCTATAGGACAATAGAAATCCAGAGTGTTCCCAAGGCTGTGAATCTTTAAGAAAGCAGAGTGCCATATCTTTCTCCCGCGGAGCTTGACTGGTAGGTTCAAACCACTGACTGATTAGCAGAACATGTTAGCCGCTTCTCCAGGCTGCGAAAGCCCTATGAGACATTTATACTCCTTCAAGTGGGGTTACTACTCTTGAGTCAGAACTAACTGACAGCACGCAATAATAAAGGGTTGCACAGGAAGAGTATATTTAATAGAAATGTGTACAAAAGCTTTTTTCTTATTGTGAATTAGAGGAAGGTTTAAAGAGCAGATCACTTTGCTTTTCTGCAATTCACACCTATTTGTTTCATCTCATTGACAGCAGTCCCCACAATGGAGCACCCCTTATCCTACTTCCTCCCTGTGTTTCCTGTTCCCATTTTTTCTTCTTTTCTAAACAGTTCTGAACTTTGTGTTTGGGCAATGCTGTTCTTTTAAACTCAAATGGTTCACTATTCTAAGACATGTTCCTCCTAGTATTGGTGCCCGTATAGTCCTGTTTATTGTTTGGCTAAAAATTGAGCCACAGGGTGAGTTCATTTCAAGAACTGGGAGGTGATTAAGGGTCATAGCCTGCAGAGTTCCAGCAGTCGCTATCTGACTTGTAAGCCTGATCTCTTATAATTCTGAGTTTTGTTCTACAATTTTCTCCCACTGTATCAACAATCTAATGTGATCCCTTTTGGAGCAGCTGGCAATAGTAGTCATGCACCATCTAGTTCTGATCTCAGTCTTGGAGACTGATGTTCGTGTGGTCGTTCAGTCCATTAGATTGTTTCCACACATCTTTGATTTTCTTCATTCTTCTAGGAACAGTGAGAGGGTTCCAAAAACAAAAAACAAAACAAAACAATCAAACAAAAACCGTATAGCTTATTTGGGAATACAGAATGTCTACTTTCTGAACTCAAATGTGAGTTCCCAGTAGAAAAAAATACTAGGTTAGGATGATCTAATGTTGCTAAATGTTCAGTAATTGAGTTTGATATTAATGACATTTTTATAAAAGCTGAAGGATTTATTCCGAGTATAACTAAAGATGACATATATGTAGAAAAAAATTTGAAAGGGAGTTAATAACCTAATTTTTAATGCAGTTATTAATTAATACAATCTGTGGTGTAGTTACACTTGTCTTGAGGTTTGATAGGATGATCTAGATTTTAATAAGAGTAGATAGGTGCTTTTCAAGTATTTGAGCCTCTGAATGTTTAGTAGAAGTACACCAGGGACAGGGTGGCTGGGTGGCAGGGTAGAGGAAAGGAAGAGGGGAAGTTTCCTGAGCAAGACAGATGAGCTGGTGGGGAAGAGAATCCTCCACTCTTACATCTACTTTATAAGACCTGTAATGTGATCTTTTTTTAAGAGTTGTGTTAGTGGAAGCCGGATCTAATTCTTCCAGTATGACTTATTTTTCATCTTAGTTTGGATGCTTTTTGAAGCTACCTCATTTCCAATCTTAGTGATGTCTCCTAGTGACATTTTCAAATGTGGACATTTATTTATATTATAGGTGTTCTGATGAGATCAGGAAGGCATTTAGATTTTCATATTTTAATCTTTTCATTTCTAGTTTTATTTTGGCATCTACACCCCCCCTTTTTTTTGAAGAGGGAAAACTAGTATGCATTTACATTGGTGACATTTATTTAAATAGACAGAAATTTCTTGTAAACCCTGGTATATGTTCACAGTTTTAGTTACAAATAAGAAGTTATTTGAATAGTTCTGTGCCCACGGTGCAATTTTAAAAATGTTTTAACTGAGTTGACAACTTTCTTCTAGTTTAAATTTTTGAAGACGTTACGTACATGAAAGTGCAAACTGACCTGAAGCTTTACTTCGTGGTGGAGAAAGTTGCCAAAAAGGGTGATAGAGTTCCAAATAAAAACTGTAGCATTTCTTCTTAAATTGATCGGTCTGTTATATTACTAATAAAGATGAAGACTAATCGCCTTCCCCTTGGTTTTACAGAGTTGTTAAAGAGTTGAAGACACCTTGCTTGAAGATGAAGGATATAACATTTTAGAGGAAGAGCTTTTTATTTTCTCCTTTCAAAGTTTGTTGAAGTCTCTAGTTACTGCTTTCAATCAAGCCTGACCACTTCATCAGAAATGTTTTTTACAATTTCAAGAAAAACTGTGTCCCAGAAACTGAGTTTATTGCTGCTTGTATTTGGACTTATTTGGGGATTAATGTTGTTGCACTATACTTTTCAACAACCAAGACATCAAAGCAGTGTCAAGTTACGTGAGCAAATACTAGATTTAAGCAAAAGATACGTTAAAGCCTTAGCTGAGGAAAATAAGAACACGGTGGATGTCGAGAATGGTGCTTCCATGGCAGGATACGGTAAGATCACCATAGATGTTTCCAGTCTTCCCCAACCTTATCCCCGTTTTAAGACAGCCAGGGAAACCAAATCATTATAGAATAGGTCTTTACAAAGTAATTCTTTCTTGATTTTAAAATGAAAATTTAAATGCACAGAAAAATGAAAATAGTATAAACAAATACCCACATATCAATGATTAACATTTTACAGTTTGTTTTATCTGCTTTTTTCGAATAACATTTAATGTTATAGATTTTGTGGCATGTTAACTGCTAGATATTTCTATATGTATCTCTAAAACAAAGTTTATGTTGTCCTGATATAAACCTTCAGTTGTAGCCCAAGACCAAACCCAACTCACTGATGACTCAGAGACCCTAAAGGAATGTAAGGTTTGTTTTCATGGCTGATTTTTTTTTTAAGTTTGCTCTGTTTTATTCAAAGAATGTAGCAATACATTTGGCCACAGTCAATGATGTGGCCAATGTTTTTGTCAAAGTAAAATCAAGATTATTTTTAAAACAACCATCTCGCCAAACTAAAAATCAAATCTAAATAAAAGCATATCTTTTGTCATCTAGTAATTGCAAATCATGTTGAGCCCAGATGTTTTTTGTTTTGTTTTTCACTACTAAGAGGGTTTATTAGGGAAGTTAATAGATTAGAAATCAGGATCAGCAAATAAGAAGAATACAGGCATCGGTCTCCTCAGCCAGCAGCCAAGTCTCTCTCAGGTTCTTTAGTTCTTAGTCATCTGGTCCCTTGGCCTTTGCCTCCGTGAACCAGAAAGCCAGCCCACCTGTCACTCTTTCCCATAGTTCCAGACCCTTGGGCCATATAAGGAGAAGATACCCATAGTCTTCATGCTGCTCCTCTGTGTCTCCATGTCAAGGCTGATTTTTAGAACCAGACTACTCCATCTTTTTCTTGAGCAGATTGTAGGTTTGAATTGTCTACCGTTTATCACTGTGCCACCAGGTCTTCTTAGTAATTGTATTAAAAGAAAGCAAAATCCATTGCCATTGAGTCGATTCCACCCATAGCAACCCTGTATAGGATTTTTCAGACTGTTACAGGTGGAGACAGTGCGATTTATTTATTTATTTTTGTCCATTTTCTCTTTCACACTCTGGAGTTCCTGTTGTGTTTTATATAGCTTATTTCTCTCTTTCCTTTAAGGCTTCAAGAAAAACCAAAAACTGTCTTGTCTATCTGGAGCACTATGTGTATGTGAGTGTGTGGTAGGCATTCTGTTCTATATATTTTTTTAATCTCAAAGTTACATAGGCATATATTTAAGGAATCAAAATGTTATGAGGCTTTTGAGAATAAAAGGACAATTCATCCTTTCTCCTTCATCCTGCAGATGTCCTATTCCTCAGAGTCACCCTATTAAATTATTGCAGGTGACTTAAATTCTGTATTTGTAAATAACATCCCTTATGAACTCTTTTTTTCTTCTTCCAATGATAGTATGTCACAGTTGAATTACTTGATATGACTCTCAGGCTATTTTTTGTAACTCTGATAAATGACTGGCATCATGCAAATAGGGCATATGAAACTTTAATGTGGAGAATGTCCGTTTTGCCGTCCAGCTGGGTATATAATGAACCATCTTAGAAGCAGAAATGGGGGCTCTTGTTGCCATCAAGAAAGAATCAGGAGTAGGGCCCGTCCTCTGGACCTTGAGATTCCTGTGTGCTGAACTCCTTCAATCCAAGAGACAGAGACTAAGAGCCAGAGAAGACATGCCAACAGAGGTTGCAGCGCCAGGAGCTGGAGAGAGAACAGCAGGTTTTCCAACCCTCAGTGAGAAAGCTGAGGCCTTCAGGCGGGAAACTTGCTTGCAGACTGGGTGAAGTGCCACTAGTCTAGGCACTTAGTGTCAACCCAAGGAGCTGGAGCTAGATTCCAGAGCCTTTAGGCTGAGGCTGGTGGAGTGGTATGACCTTTGGCATTTATATGCAGCGCCCTGAGCAGAAACCTGTTGTATTATGAGCATTTCAGATTCTGAAACCCCGATCATGTGAGTGTTGCCTGTGACTTCTGTGTTGTGGTTGCAACGATTATTGAACCCAGCTGTGATTTTTTATGTTTTGTGTCAACTTGTCTGGACCAGAATCCTCAGTGGTTTGGCAGTTAAAGCCTGGTAATCCCCCATGATGTGACAAAACACAATGTAATCTGCAGTAAGCAGCCAGTCAGTTGCAGGAAGATTAAGGTGGAGCACAACTCCTTTACTTCTGTCACAGCCCTGATGCACTGTAAAGGAAGTTTCCTTCGGGGTATGGCCCAATTCTTATATAAATAGGAAAAACCTTGCTTGCTTTTTGTTGGGTCTGGATCCTGCATCTGACTCTTTGACCTCTGGTTCTTCGGACTTCAGCCAATGGCCTGCCATATGGCCTGCTGATCGTAGGAGCCATCAGTAGCCTGTTGTCTGACCTGGTGACCGTGGATTCATCTGGTTTTGCCATGTGTGGTCTTCCTGCCTATCCTGGGTTCATCAGCACCCAGAGCTGTTCCAGACAGAAGCCTCTGCTAAAAAAAAACAACAAAACAACTTCCAGTTGAAACTTTATTGGACTTACATGCTTCTGTGTGAGCTGTTTTCTTGATATAAACTTCATTCTTTCTATATATAAACATCACTGGGTTTGCTTCTCTAGAGAAGCCAGCCTAACACACCAACTGAGAAATAGAGTACTGCTTGGTAAAGAAGGCTAGAGTATAGAGGCAGGTCCGACCTTTCCCTTAGGCTGAGTTTGATTCTTCTTCCCCTGTTGAAGTCAGAAGAGGAACGAAACGACACTACCCCCGCACCATTTTTATGAGTTATCTGTTATGTAAGTTGAGAGTTCAGCTTTCTCACTACAAAATTTTTCCTATCCCCCACGCCTCTTTCATGCACTTGTCTGCCTTGTCCTGGCATATTTTCATGATGATTTTGGCTAATGCAATATTTGGTGTGTACATTATTATAACTATTAATGGTAGTTCTTGGTGACTCACGTAGTATATTATGATTACTTTTCCTTTCCTGTACCATTTTATTTCCCCTCAAAGAATTAATAAGTATTTGTTTTTTACTTCTTTGCCTAGTTTTCTATTCCACTTCTCCTATAGTTTGAATATTCTACCAATTATTCTGAAGCATAGGGTATACAAAGTTTTTTTGAATAAGAATTGGCACAAAGCTGACTCCTAAGAAGTGGATGTTAGTTTTATATCTCTATTTTCCAAATTCTCCATTGTCCCTGGTACCAGTCTCTCCCCCCACCCCTGAGTTCAGTAATTCTCTGTAGTGTCATGTATATGGTGACCAGATTGTAACATTGGTAAAGCGGGACACCATTGATGAAACTCATATCCTGGCGAAATAGCCACATGGCAGCAGAAAACCGTATACCCTAGCTTGTTGTGCATTCTTTCCAAAAATTGGGACTTTTAAAAAACGCCCTGGTACGCTGGAAAAATTGTTAAAAATCGGGACTGTCCCACCAAAAGCGGGATGTCTGGTCACCTTAGGACTCATGAAGGACTTACAGATTATGCTTATGGTTATGTGGCATTATATGGTTATGAGGACAAAAGGCTGCAGCTCCAAAATATAGGTTACAAACAGGCAGAAACAACGGGATACAATTTTGGAGTACCTCAGAGCAATATGAAGAGGTCCTTGGGCAGGTGCGGTAAGCACGACCTATTCCTAAGAATCCCATGGCTTCCCCTTTCTTAGTCATACCCTAGTATGCTCCTAAGGAAAAAAAGCTAAAGTATTTTTGAGTCCTTGCATGTCCAAAAAGCTGCCCTCCCACCCCCTGTGCTTAAATTAAAAGTTTGAGTATAGAATTCTAGGTTGGAAATAATTTTCTCTCAGATATTAAAGGTTTTGTTTTAGTTAATTTAATTTTTAACACCCCAGTGTTCTTTTTGAGGATCTTATGCTATTCTGATTCCTGATGCTTTATACGTGACTAATTTTTTGCTACTCAATGAGATCTGTGCCCATCAGTGTTCTAAAAGCTTTTTTGATGTGTCTGGATATAGATTTCTTTTATACATTAGGATGTTAGTGGGCTCTTTAAACCCAGAAACTTAATGTTTTTTTAATTTTGGGAGATTTTCTTAAATTACTTATGCGATTTTTTCCCTCCTTTTTATAAATTCTTTTGTTATCCAAGTGTTATATCCCTTAAAATAAAACAATCTTTCTGTTTTAATTTTTGAAAGAATGCCTTAGCTTTATTCCTACCCCTTTATGGAATATTTTATTTTATTTTGTCTTTCATATTCATATCTCTGAGATTATCAATGGTAATTTTTCCCAAGTATTCTTTTTTAATTTAATTTTCTGGTGAAAATGTACTTATCAAAACTGGGTCCCATTCAACCATTCCTACTACTCTTTAGTGACTGTGGGGTTGCTTCTTCACATTGTATCGACATTCCTGTTATTTCTGCTTTACTTGTTTCACCTTTGTTAAAAGGTTACCTCAGAGGGTAGTTTCGTTTCAAGACGAAGAATACAATATCCCAAGGCATTAGTCTCTGGGATTCCTCTAGCTTCAGTGGGCCCATTACGTCTGGCTTCTCTGGGAATTTGAAGTCTGTCCATATATTTCCCCTTGCCATTAGGATCCATCTGTTGTGTTGAGGTCCAAACATTTGGTAGTGGTAGCTGGGGCATCACCTCATTTTCCTGGTCTCATGTTGGAAGGAGCCATGCTTCATGGAGGCACAGGCTGTTCAGCCTCTAGCACCACTGCTTCTCTGATTCGTGGGTTTCTCTCTTTTTCTGTTGCATCAGTTGAATAGAGACCACTTGTTGGTTTTGGCTGGACGGGAAAGCTTTTAGGATCCCAGGCACTACTCACCCAATTGAGATAGAAATCTCAACCAAAGCCAAACTCTCTGTCATTGCTTTGATCCAACTTTGAGTGACTTTATATAGGATTTCCAAGGCTGTCAATGTTGATAGGAGCAGATAGTGTCATCTTTTCTCCTTTAGAGC